CTTCTCTCCCGATTCTCTCCCCCATCCCACCGGGGGGGGGAGAGTGAGCGAGTGGCTGTGTGGTGCTCAGTTGCCAGCTGAGGTTAAACCACCACAGACCAGCAATTGTTTTGCTTGACAGTCTGAAAGCTGGCTAGCTGGTGCTTGCCAAAATGAAGTGCCCAACTGTAATGCTGGTGCTCTGCTCTGAACTGGATCGGGAAGGCTTTGTGATAAAACTGATACATCAATGGAAACGTTTCTGTTTGGCACAAACAGCAGCAGGTGCTCTGTTTCCAAGTGTTACATGTATATGCTGTACTCCCTAGCATCACTGAAGCGGTTTCCCTTTGAAGATATATCTGTGTGCTATTTTGGCATGTCGCTCCCGTTGCATGGCCTTTAATAACTTCCTATACTCTCTGAAAAGATTTTCAGAAAGATCTGACTTAAATTTATCTTTTGGCAGATACTCCCTTCACCTATTTTTTGAAGTTCCTTGTATCGTTGTTGTTATTCAAGGATTAATGGATCTTCCACTTTAGTTTTAACTTCTTCCATTCACTTTCCATAAAGATGTGACAAAAGAGAGGAGAAATGAAAGCTTTTCTTACTGTATTGCCCTTTGGAAGAATAAATAACACTCTAATATGAAACTGAAATTTAAGGTGAGGTTTTCAAAGTGGAAGTCCAGTGCAAACAATCCTTCCCAGTCATGTTTCTGACATGTCTTTGCTGCTGAGGCAAAACAGCACACCCAGTTTAGATGGCTGTGCTCGTGTCTGGAAAAGAGCAGAGTGGTTAAGAACCTCACCTAATCATTTGAGGAATTTGTTGAATCACTTGGAGTCCAGCAGATAGTCCCACCAGACCAAGTTGTCCTTGTGCTTGAAAAGGGAACCTGCCTAAACACATGAAGATTGTCTTCAGTTTGAGCACTAGTAATTCTATCTGCCTGTTGGAATGATGCTTATTTGTTTGAGACTTGTATGGAGGGTCAAGGAGTTCAATATGCTTTACGGTTGTTAACAGGTACAAAGCTTCGGGTAGACGAAAGAGGTGGCAGAGATCTAGAAATAAAATTTTATGCTAAATGAGTTAACAATATTAACAATAACATGATATTTTGAAGTGCCGTAAGTCAAGCTCTGTCCATGAAATTTTTAGTGACGGTTTCTGTAGGCTGATACAGTGAATGCTAGTCATCTCGACTGTGTAAGGAAGGTAAATTTTTAGTGTAAGTATAGTCTTGATGTCTTGGTGTAGGCTACAGAGAGTGGGCCTTCTTTGATTAGCAGTGAGGGAGGAGGCGTTTGTGGCAGTCACTGAGGGTAGAATCCTGGTGGTTAAATTGTTTGAACCATTGAGTGCTTTACAGGAACTTTAGTTCTTCTAGATGTATTTGCCTTTCCACTTACAAATTCGCTGCACATGACAGTTCACATCTCAGTAGAAGCTGATGTATTAAATCCGGTCTTTCTGTTTGCTGGATTTAAAAAGTGGAATCTGGGCAGAGTATCTTAAAGAACTACAGGCAGGGTGGATCAAATTACTTTTTGCCTTTTTTTTTTTCTTTACTTTCTAGAGTGGTGTAGGAGGGTAGTATAACTATTATGCTGACAGTATTATTTGAAGTGGGAAAATAGGTGATATACCTCAGCCTGCGGTACATAGCCTGTTACCTATTCAGAGTGTGAGCTAACACAAAGCAATCCATGGCTATGTGAGCGTAATATTTAATTTACCTACCTATCACACATTGCTAAAAACCTCTATCATTAGCTCCCTCCTCTGACTGTCCACCACAGGGCTCCTAAGTATCTGTACCTCGCTTATTTGCCTGATCTAACGGTATGAGGTCTGACCACTCATCACCCACCCTGTATCTGCCCCTTGGTGGAGCTTCCTAATAAGTGTTTTCCTCTTACCTATTTTATGTAACAAATTTTAATGAATGAAGTATGTTTAGGACCTCCACCCTTTTAGCAAAATTAGCTGAAATGGTCCTACTACTTTTGAAGTATTAGTAAGGTTTACACAATAAATTGTCTCCTTTTCCTTAGGAAACCAAACTTGAATGGTAATTTTAAAAGGATTTGGTTATTCAAAGATACCTATGAGATCTTTGAGAGTCCTTGCAGAACGAAATCACTTGTTTGTATATGCTATTAGTTTATGTTTTTAAAAATGTGCTTTGTGTTTGATATCATACATGGATGTACTACTTTAACTAGCAAATAATATTTTAGATTTTAGAGAGCAAGTAATATTTTTAGAATCAACATATCAAAAGGATTTATTCTTCAGTAAATTCTTGCATATTGTTTTCCTTCTCAGAGACTAATGTTCCATTTGGGCATGGTTCTTCTAGCTGCATGTGTGCTTAGCTTTCTCCTGTATTAGATTACAGAACTGTACTGGACATGTCCAGAAATCTGTGATAGACAGGTGCAAATTGCAAGTTAGCACTAAATTACATCACTGATTGTGCCTAGTCAGTGATACGAAATGTTCCAGGCTACTGAAAATATATTCAGCTGAGATTTGCTAAAATTCAAAGGTAGGTTGTATGAAGAAATTTGAAAATGTTAGTGGGAGATCAGCATCATTTTCTGGCTGATGAGATGACTGCTGCCTATCCCATCAGGACAGGCACATTGCTGTGAGAAATGCTGTACAAACGTATTTCAAGGGAAGGATTATTTGCATGGTTTATGATCTTCCAAGGAAATACAGAATAAAAGCTAAGACAACATAAAAGTGCTGTACAGGGAGTTCTTCTTGTAGTCTTTACAACAGCTACTATAATTGGACCCCATTTGGAGCTAGGTCTTTGGTCATTTCTGTAATTAAATATTAAGCTTGCCTTTAGAAAAACTTTTCTGACTTCAAGTATAAGTTTTTTTCTTGTTTTAACATTAAGAATATTAAAAAAAATGAAGTGTAACTTCTGGGTTTGGAGTCAACACATCAGTTGTACAAATCATGCTGATAGAGGTTATTAATCTCTAGTCTGTGTGCATTCAATTTGCTCTATAGATAGATATTTGTAAGTAACTTTGCCTTTTTTCCCCCTTCCAAGTAATTTGTTTCTTTATCTCTCTTTCTTTCTTTTAGAATTCTTCTCAATGTCCAACATCTATTTTTCTGTTCCCTAACATCGTTTGGTTTCCCATCTTTTGAACTTGTGCATTTTCAGGCTGTTGTGTGTCCCTGGTGTAGTGTTGTTCCTGCTACACAGAGGAAAAAATGGGTGACTGCATTCACCTCCGGGCTGGCTTTTATCTGAAGTTCTCAAAGGGATATGATAACCTTTTGTGGCACCCAGGACTTCACTGTCCTCAGTGTAAATAAGAAGTGTGGTGGACATGGAAAGGTCATAGGAGTTTTTAATGCGCACACGCACACACAAAAAATCTTATTTCTTTAAAAAACAATTGTTGTGAACTGGCAAAATTGAAGTCGGGTTGTGAAGGTGATTCTCTGATCCTAGGGTTAAGAAATAACATTAATGAAGGCCCTAGGAAGTGGCAGGAGATGGTGAAAGTACAGTAAAGGCAAGGCATGAGGCTGGGTTTGAGGTCATACCAAGCTTTGAAGACAACATGATGCCAGTGTTGTGTAACTATGAGAACATTCCCCCAGTTTTTAGCTGGGCGGGACCAGTTCGCCACACTTGTGGGAGAGTTCCTGAATTATAACTATTATCGCATTAGCTGAATAAGTATGGAACATACATATTTTGTGTAGGTAAAAAATACAGCCTGTATGGGAGTATTTCAGTGTCGTGCACGGATAGCTTGATGACTCTTTTAGACTTTTATCATCAAATGTGAAATACCACTTGCTTATTTTCTTTAAAATACCTTTATGTATTACATCCTGCCTCAGCGGTACCTCGATTTGCCTGTAGAAGGTACTGGGTAGAATGAAAGTAGCATGTGGCAGCCAAGTCCTGCCCTTGCAGAACAGAGGTTGAGTTCGTAGGACTGCAGTAATGGTGTCATTTGAGTTTTTACTTCTTTTAAAACTACTTCTAGCTTTGCAAGATGGAAATACCCATAGGTAAAAGTAAATAAACAAATAAACCAGGAACTGCAAGTATTTAAGTATTACATTCCAGAAGGCTATGAGGAGCACTTTTTTTTTGTCTGTGTAATCTTGTTTTGTGTGTTTTTTTTATTGTGAGGAATGATTGAGGAGCATCAGGAAAGAAATTTAGGGGGGATATTTTTTTCCACACTGTGGTCCTGTTTTTCATAATCTCTTCACTACCAATTCCTGTCCTTCCTTTGTCCCCTCCTAAAACAAAATCAGTATATATATATTTGAAAGATTTATGTTCAAAATTCCAAAATTAATTTTGAGAGGTAAATTGGAAATGGACAACTGATACTTTATTTTCATTTCAGTTTGAAAAGGATTCAGTTCTAACTTGCATAAAATATACCTTTTTTTCTTTTGCAGAGACGTGGAGCAATTTCCTATGACAGCTCTGATCAGACTGCGTTGTACATTCGTATGCTAGGTAAGCATAGCAGTTTCTATATTGCAAAGTTCTAACGTTTATGATTGATTTAAAATAATTATTTTTTTATATTTGAGTATTGAATTCTTAAACTTATCATTCCCTTTCTCCTGGATAATATTCTGGTTAGATTCTTTAGAAGAGTTTGGGTTCTTTTGTGTTGACTTGGGTTTTTACGTTGTTTGCCTTTTTTCTTTTTTTTTTCTCAGTTAACCATTGTGTCAGTTGTTTTACTCCTATATTAAAAAGAAAAAGTTCTTATAATTAATGTAATGTGTTTGGTAGAAGTTAAGTTTTCCAGGTGACTCATGATTGATCTTTAGTTCTGTGATGGAATTTATCACCTCTGCGTGGTATCCTTCTGGTTAAAACTGTAGCTTAGAGAACATTTGTGTGAGAGTTACCACACACTTCTAAAAACTTCAATACTGAGTCTATGAAATGCTCAAGGTGTTCTTAAAATAATTGTATGATTTTAACCAATACTTCTCTTACTAATCCTAGAAGATGACTTGAGAAGGGAAAGGACACGTGACAGGGCCAGTAGTTTAGTCAACTTACTGAAGAATATTTAGTTGCTACTCTGGAAACAAAGGGTAAAGCCAAATTAAAATGAAAGAACAGCATTGGGAGGGGCGAGCACCTGGGGGAGACCTTCTGTGATAGTGAGTGCATGGAGGAGGGAGTTGAGGTCAGTCATTGAGAGGAGAAAGATGCAAAGCTCTTGCAGATCTGGCTGCCGGATTCAGTACTTCCCGCACCTCTTCTGGAGGCTGCTGGTGGTACAGATGGCATGGGGACTGTGTATATACTCTAAGTCTGTTTCACTGCAGAATTATGCCACTTAATTTAAGCCATCTTGAGCTATGATTTTGTGTTGAAATGGACTATGAATGCTTGCATGATATCTCGCATGGCTCAATGAACATCAACAGCTAGTGATTATAAATTCTTAACCGGCTCCAACTAAATCAGCCAGAACATGTCTTTTTATGCCCTGAGTCTTTTCAGTTTAGTTGGGTGTTGTACATATGAAAGTCCCCGGAAGTTCATAACTGCGTTGTCTATGAATTTAAAGTTGTAAGCTATATGCATGTGTACACGTGTGTATATATATGAATTTATAGTCACAACCTACGTATGTAGGCATATGTGTGTATGTATATATAAATCCAATTTTGACTTAGCATCTTTGCATTTTTGTTTTTCAATTATTTTGATTTTTTAAGTTTGAAGTTGTTAATACTATAGCACTCACTGTCTACAGAAGGATTTTTGATAAGAAAATGTAATTACTTTGGAGATTTAAGAGGAGGAAGACAGAAGATGCTGGCTTCTAAATGTTTATTGAAAAAGCTGCTGGTTTTTTTTTTGTTGGAAATAGGTTTATTTCATTTTCAAAAGTTAAAATAACTTTTTCATTTTTAATCATCCTTCTTGCAGGATGAACACTAGAATTCTTCAAAATGGGATTTTTCTGCTCTAGTCATAAGAATAAGAAAGTAAATTCAGGCCTAAGGTAGTTTTGTTTCCTTCATTTTGTGATACTTTTTTTTTAAAAGCTAAATTTATTTTGTGCTGTAATTAGAAAATACAGATTTTTTTCTGCTTCAGAATCCTACAAATTGAGTACTTTTAATTCCACAACAGGGGAAATATGTATTAATTTATTTTAAAAAGGCACTGATATACTTGAATTAAAGTTACTGTAAGTATATGTGTGTTTATCTTTTTAAAATTAATCTGCTAGTGGTAGAAACTCAGCTTGTAAGAAAATAATTCTTAATTTCTGGGGAGAATAATCTGATTTCTTTTGCTACTTTGGAAGTTTAACTGTACCATGAAGTAGTTAGGCCCATCATTTCTGCAGAAGGGTTTGTGGTAATGCTCAAGGAAATCTAGAGGAAAGCAAAGCATGACTTCCTGGGGTTCTTGGTATATAGACCTGAACTGAGGGAAAAATCTCATTTGTTTTGCAGTCTTTCTTTGACTATTCTCATAGGTGGAACTGGAATATATTCAGAACGTGATGTTAAGTAAATTAAATTTTCACTTGTTCTCTCATTGGAAGTCATTACTGGACTATGTGATTGGTGCTTGTTACGAATAGCATAACTCTTGCTGGCATTCGTTGCTGTTCAATGATGCTAGCTACCCAGAGGCAGTAAGTCTTTTAAAGTATTGACCTCTTCTAACTTTGGCTGGGGGGAGGAGGGTACCAACAAGCAAACAAATATTGCTCATTGGATGTTTGAATCAGTATGTTAAATTTTTATTACTTTCTCACTTGTTGGTGATCGCTTTGTTTTCCTGAATGTTACGTACACTATACTGTACAAGTTAGCAACTATTTATAGCTTTATTACTGTTGTATTCGTAAATGAACTGTAAAAAAGACCAGCCTGAAAGCTGAACAGTTGGACGCATCGGTATGTAGAAACATTCATATCGGAGTAGATTCAAGAATGAATATATTCAGTTAGAATTTTTTGCAAGAAACGTGAAGTATTGCATTGCCCATACAGTATTGTGAAGGTTTTGGTTTTTTTATTTATCTTAGTACACTTTAGCAGAGTAAGCTGTGAGGAATCCTCAGCTGTAACTCAATGGGAAGATAGGCACAGTCATGAGACGTTTTGCCTTTTACTTGGTTGGTTATTATTCCAAACAGACTATATCTACTAATAAAACATACCTTGATAAGGTGTTTATTTTAGCAGACCAAAAATATAAAGCTAACGGTATCTAGGACACCTCCCTCTGCCCCTGTTTAGTTCTGCTGGCTGTAGAGTTGCTTCCTTTTATGTTTTCAGGCTGTTCCAATGGGAATCTAATGCAAATTCATTTGCACCAAGTAAATAGAAATTCCTGTGGTATGGCAGTGTTTCCAGGTTCAATTTAAAAGATCAAATTTTAGGGGCACACAAAATAACTAACTCTGTCTTTATCAGTATCGATATAAACAAAGAGCATTGACTCTAATGACTCATCTGTCATACCCCATTCCCAAAATATACACTGAGCCACTCCCGAGTGGCTTATTTACTATTTTAAAATATAGATACAGATGCAGCGTTGTGGAATTTTTCTTTTAAGACCTTGGAAGGGCTAATATATCTGCATCACCTCAGTCAGCTACTTCTCTCAGCAGCTATGAGGAATTCTCAAAATTTCTTGTAAGTGCTTCTGTGTAATCTTGAATACTTCCTTGATTTTTCTCTTCTTTGCTCTTCTGGTTTCTTTTTCTTGTTGTTTCATAATGCCTGAAAGTTTTGCTACTGTGCATGGGGTAGAAAGAGTGGGGCGCTGACTGCTTGTATCGGTGAGCATGCACCTCTCAACTAAAACTGGAGCATTTTACCCTCCTTTAGAGGTCTTGATCACTTCAAATAGGAAATAGTGGAGGCCAGCTACTGTGTAATGCAGGTGCATGCTCTTCTCCGGTAGCGGTTGTTATGTTGCATTCCTTTTGCTTTAATTCCAGAATATTTGGCTGACCTGTCATCTGTTTCTCCAACAAATTTAATAGGAACTTTAATCTGTGAAGCTAGTAATTCTTTCTGGAAGTCCTGCTCTCCACAACTTCATGGCTTTGGCTTGGGTGGTTTACCTTGAGGTGGCTGTCATAATTTCTGCTCCCAGCTGTCCTCCGTGATCTCTGAGATTTCTGCCTCTGCTCCAGAAGGCCTCAGCTCCCCAAGCAGCTGCTGCATTGTTACTGTGCCATACTGGAGCGTTAGGGTAGCATGAAGTATGTGCTGTGTAACCCTAATGCCCAGGGATGTCAGCTATGGCATTTCAGCTGCCTCGTAAGTATCAGAGCTGTCCTTGCGGTGTGAGCAGGAATCTGAGAGAGGGGTGGGAACTAAATGGTCTGTCTCAAGGTAAGTTTTGTTACAGCCCTGATTCCTTTTCAGTTTTCAGTTGTAGCTGCAAACCTCCCTCTTACATTCCTTCTTCCACTATTCAGTCTTCAATTGAGTTTCTGCCTGTATGGCCTTTGTCTTAAAAATGCAAGCAATCCTGGTCACATAGAACTATTCTGGAAAAAAATCTGTTGGCTGAGTATTTAACTAGGTATTTTGTCATGTTTGTGCACAAAATCAGATTTTGAAAGGAAGGCTTCACGTTTTTTAAATCTTTCTCTTGATTCTTTGGATTTACAGAAACTCTCAAAGAGGGAAAAAAACTGTTCCTGGAAGCCCACTGTCATTAAGATGCTGAACGTTAAGGTGTTCCCCTTAGGAAACAGGAGTCTTTTCAGAGTGGCTAAAGAAGAGACACTTAAGATAAAAACT